ATATATATATATATATATATATATATATATATATATATATACACACTGTACAGTTACCTTTTTTGACTCTTCTGATATGGACATTGTTTTCCGTTCTGTACCCATAATTATTCTATCTTTGGCAAACTCCAACTGTGCAGCTGCTAACTTCTCTGCACCTTCAACAGCAGCTTTAATAGCAGCAATGTTTACCAGGTTTGCAAGATCTAGTGTAAAGGAACAATTATAGAACACATCACATGAATGAAATGTGAAACAGAATGAAAGGAGGTTCATATCACATATTGAACAATTATTCACCTGCCCCATTGAATCCTGGGGTTCCACGAGCAATTGTTTTAATATCTACATCATCAGCCAAAGGTTTATCTTGAAGGTAAAGCTCCAATATTTCTTGTCGACCCCGTAAATCCGGATTTGGTACAATAATCTGAAATGAGTTGGTTAGTCTTCTTATATTATATAGCAAAATTACATAGCATTCAAGACATTAGTTTGATTAATTTTAAAGATAGGTCCAAATAGAGAGATCACCGTAATAACATTGAAAAATGAAGGGTTGATAGTGTTTTTGGTCCCTATAAAATTAGTCAAAATTGGTTTTGGTCCCTATATTTTAAAACCAGAGAAATACAATGAAAGTAGTCCCTGTCACTAACTCCATCAGTATGCTTACTAACATGTCTAATGGATGGCCATGTGGCAAATTGCGTGACATGGATGCCATGTGGCAAGTGTTGTATGTCAAGAATGTTTCCAATCCTAGTAAAATTGATCTTAGTTGCTATATTTTAAACCAATGGTTTGAGCCTTCCAGTTTCTGAAATACAGTTAAAGTAGTCCCTATTACTAATTCTATTGTGATGGTTGCTCTAATGACACAAGGTTTCGTGTGACATGGATAAGATGTAGCAGACACGTCCCAAGCTCCAACAATAGACAGGTGACCTCAAACCCAAATCAGACCTCAAGTCCTCTAACGCATGCTCCTTGACACCCATCAGTAACTAATGGAATTCCAACAACTGAAAGTCTAATTAAACAACCTGAAAAAAACTTTTATATTATTGACTTGTTTCCTAGTTAGACATTTTTGCATTCGGCCTTCAAAACCCCAAAGTTGTCTGGATAAGACACTCAGTATCCAAGCCAAGCTTAAGATTTTTCATTATTGCATACTATCAACTATAACAAGGCAAAACAAATCAAAGAGTACCACACATTTTCTATCCTTTTGAGACACCTTACCAAAAACACTACCTAATTTTGTCTTGTTGTAATTAACGTTGTACAATAGTGAAAAAATATCAGGTTTGGAACCCATCAACGTTAAGAAATCTGAGACTTTTCCCCTGATATTAGTAAAGCTTCCAGAGGTTGTTTAATTAGAGCTCCAAATGTTCGAAATATATTAGTGACTAAAGTGTGTGAAGGAGCATGCATTAGGGACGTTGACATCGATTTGGATTTGGGTTCACTCATATGTGATTAGAGCCGGCCATGTGACTGCGCATCATCCATATCGCACACATTGCTATGTATCATCCATGTAAAATAAATTGCCACGTGTTTCTAGAGCAAGCATCCTAATAGAGTTAGTAATAGGGGTTTCAATGTGTTTCAGAAATTAGATAATTCAAACCACTGGTTTTAAAATATAAGGACCATGACCAATTTTATATAGACCAAAAACATTTATCAAAAAATTAAATAATCTCATGTTTATACAACACAACAACCTTTCAGAGTGGTATAGGGTCTTGATCAAAAAAAAAAGAGTGGTATAGGGTCTATGGACAAAAAATAATGTTTATTTTGAGGTTGCTTTTTTTTTTTTGCTTAAGTATGTTTTTAGTCTCTATAAAATGAGTGAATTTTGTTTTTGGTAATTATAAAAAATTTCTTTTATTTTCATCCCCGAAATATGAAATTATTGTTTTTGGTCCATACAATTATCTGACACTCATTAATTACTAATATTTAATTGAAAGTTAAGTAGTTAACTGATCATTTAAAGTGACATCCTGGTGTCCACATATCATGTTAACATAAGACATTTCTGAAAAAGAATTCTAGATTCCCAAAAATGAATATTATTTATCTCCTTTGAAATGATTGTTAGGAACCAAAAATAGTAATCTTAGAGTGATGAAAATTAAAGAAAAATATTTTATAGAGACTAAAATCAAAATTTACTCATTTTACAATGACTAATAATAATGATTTCAAATTTTAAAGGAATGAAAAACAAAGAAAAAAATTAACAAGAAGCAAAATCATGTCTTTTATTTTATAGGGACTAAAAATATATTTTAACATCTTTCTTTTTTATTTATCAGATAAAAGAATAAGTAGAATATGATATCCTCCTAATTAAACCAAGTCACTAGGTGGGCCTTAATTTTGTCAACTTTCAAAGGGCCCACCCTAAAAGCCTGAGATTTTTATGTAAAATGGAACCTAAATTTTTTGGATTTAGTTGATGACAGTTTAAGATGATCACTTTATCGCATCACAGAGACAACAGCATAATATTATCCTTGAGAATTCTGCCAAACAAATAGCAAACATATTATATCACCGAAGAAAATTAGGTTCATAAAGTTCCTTTATAGCAGTCTTTTTAAAGATAAAAATGTAAGATCTTTTGAAGTGTTCTATTTTTTCAGGTCTGTTGTGAGCCAAATGCTAAAGTTTTTGAACAGATAATTCTTCTTTTCCACATTGTTGGGAGAAAGTTGTCTTTTGGGCTACCTTATGCATTTCAGCCACAGTTTTTTCAGAGGGTTTGAATTAACTAAGGGACTGGAGAGCTTTTCTAAGCCAAGTTTTTATTTTCCTATCTGTCTCGTGCTTATTTTGTTTTTTTTGTTGTTCTAGGAGGATTTCTTGTCCTCTTATTTTCTCTTTATCAATTCTTTTATTGGGGGGAAGAAAGAATAGGACTTACATGTCGATCAAATCTACCAGGCCTCGTTAAAGCAGGATCAAGAATATCAGGCAGGTTTGTTGCAGCCATTACTATTATTCCCTACAAGATAAAGATGTTGAATATATTAGGAAACAGAAGTGAAACTGATTAAACACACTCCCAAATGTTTAAAACTTCAAATATACTTCATTCTGCTCAAATCCATCCATTTCAACGAGTAGTTGATGCAATGTCTTCTTTGTATGACCCTCCCACTGTTTCCTAGTTGAACCAACAGCATCTATTTCATCGATGAAAATGATACAAGGAGCCTACAAAAAGGATGGGGCAAAAAGAAATTTCCAAATCAGAAACAAATTAGGAAATCATATGGTGTAAAATTAATTTAGCAAAACAGAATAACAGACAGTTGAGAGTCCATTGATCAGAGGCAACAAACCTTCTTTTTTGCTGCTTGAAATAATGATCTTACACGTCGAGCACCAACTCCAACATACCTGAAGTGGAAAAGTGATATAAAAACTGAACATCCCTAACAGCTAAAGCAGTATAATATCCCTAACAACTAACACAGCCTAACATCCCTTAATGTAATTATAGCAAGAAAAAGTTATATCCTCATGATTCACCTTTACTTCTCACCTTTTCTTTTTTCCTGATAGAAATATTAACTTGAAGAGACACTAACGTTTTTTAATCCCAAAACCTCAATGGAATGATACTGAGATTGCAATATGTATACAACATATAGCTAATAAAAGGCATGTTCCCACCAGAATGGCAATAATAAAAAAGGCCTAGTAATCAACATCAGACAAGATAAAGAAACATAATATATGTATCACAGAGGACATTAATGTACCCTCATTAACAAACTTTTCAAGACAATATATAATGTATCCTTATTAAATTCTAGCAAAATAGATCATAATATCCTGTTTCAAAAATGAAGACAATATATAATATATAGTGTATGCTAAACACAGAAAACTTGAGCTATGCAAATAAAGAATGCAAAAAGAAGACTTACATCTCCTCAAATTCTGATCCTGCCCGATAGAAAAAGGGAACACCGGCTTCTCCAGCAATAGCCTTTCAAGGTCCCAAATAAAGCAAACACTATCAGATGATTCAGATCACAGTACATTATGAATATCAATAGATTAACTCGGGAGGTAGATGATAATAAAGTAGTTTTTTTGTTTTTTAATTGTATTTATTAATTCTAAAAAATGAATGAGAAAATGAAGTTGTCAATAATGCCTGGGTTCTTTACCCAAGAAAAAAGCCTGGGTTTTTTTTTTTGGTGTTGAGAGAGAGAGGGAGAAAGAGAGAAAGCCTGGGTTTATAAATGCTTCAAGTTCTTTATCCTAAAAAATAAATAATAAATAAATAAAAACGAGTTTGAACTTAAGAAAGTGAAATTTGAATATTAATGGGCCTACATGACTGTTATGTAAGAGGGGGAAAAAAAACAGAGAGGACATTATGTGCATGTAAACTTATATATCAAGATTTCTCTATACATTTGATAAAAGTATGAGAAGGGAAACATGAGGAAAAGTAATTTCAGATAAAAATAAAAATTGGATAACAATATCCTTATTGGCAAATTTATTTGAAAATCTATCAGGTAGGCACAGTAAATAGCAGCATGGACAAACAATAAGGAAACAAAACATATACAATTATCAATAATGAGGAGCATATGCAAACAATTCACAAGGGAATAGAAAAATAAACTTCTGCCTTCACTTAAAGCTTAGAAAAACAAATTATGCAAAGTGATATTGGAGTCATAATGTCACCAATATCAAATTGAAAGACAAGAACCAAAGCCCAGATATGTACTTCCAATAGGTTCAAGTTCTAAAACCAAGAACTTCATCAAATTTGTAAAAGAAAACCCTTGAGATATGCAGAGCAGAAACAACTGACCTTGGCTAGCAGAGTTTTTCCAGTTCCAGGAGGTCCTGTCAAGAGAATCCCCTGAGAAAAGAAATGTTATAGGCTCACTGGATAAAAAACAAATAAACAATTTCAAATACACAATAAAAAGGAAGCATGTTTATTACTGTAAAGTGTAAACTGTAAACAAAATAATTTGCATATGAAGAAAGTACAAATATGTTATTATCTCATAAATTGGGGAAAGAACCTAGTCCAACAAGAAATAAGAAGCCAATTATCTTTAAAATAGAGGTCATAAATATAAGCAAATGTTGTCGTGCAGAAAAATTCAACAAAAAGACAAATACTTCTTCAGACCTTCGGCAACTTTCCTCCAAGGCGGGTAAATTTAGCCGGATTTTTCAAGTACTCCACAACTTCCTCAAGTTCTTGTTTTGCATCATCACAACCTTTCACATCTTTAAATGTTTTCACATTCTGCAAGAGGAAAGAGAGCTTATATAACGTTGTTGACATATTTTTGATTTGTTGGCAATTTGGTATACTCTATAGACAAGGCCTCCTATATTAAAGAGATAAGGAAAAGGCTAATATTAAAGAGATAACTTCTCCTTCATAAGAATTAATTATAACAAAAAAAAAAAAAAAAAAAAAAAAAAAAAAAGGAAAGAGCACAACTCATTTTCAGAACAAGATACTAAGAAGAGAATAAAGACCGGTTTAAAGGAACAAAAACAAAAGAGGAAAGAGGAATGCTAGACTAACTGCTCGGGAAGCTAATAACATGGAGTTCACCAACATTAATATGCCAAGATATACTTCAGAACTTGTTGACTGATTAATGAAATATCATGTTAGGAATAATTGATAAACCGGGATTGTTTTATTTTGATTAAAAAAAAAGACTATGCACATAATATATATTATTCATTAACAAATCAACCGATTGCAATTACAATCTTCTCATCCAAAATTCAGTGATGATAGAAGAAACTAGTTTAGCATATTATATGATCAAGATATGTTAGTTAGAATACACCTAAAATGTTAACCTTTTCCGGCATCACTTCCTTATTTAGTTCCTTTGGGGCATATGAAGTACTTGATCCAGAACTTGAAGTTCCAATCCCACCCAAGCTTACTATGAATTTTTGAAGTGCAACCATACCCATAACCCTGAAAGACATGCATATTTTGCAGGACAATAAATGAACTTTCAGCTATGATATACAGAAGAGAATGAGAGAGAGAAATGGAAACCAAAGGCTCATACCAGACCAATCCCATAACAACAATAAACAAAATAGTTGATAAAAGATCCTGTACAAAACGTGACTTTTGTGATACCTTGGGATCAACCTAAAGAAAGAAACAGATTCGTGAGATTCCCAAAACAAACAAACAGAATAGAATCTGGACTAAAAACACTAATCATTAAAACCATGAATCAAAAAGAACATTCACTTTGCAATAATTGTTACCATAACCACATGTAATGGCTGCTTTTCTGATGTTCCAGGGCTAAGAATAGGCTCATCCGAGTTACCTGATGCTCGCTGCTTCAACTCTTGCAACTGAAAAAATACATATTTACTATTATTTGCACCGTGATAGAAGTAAAACCATAACATGTAAATTATGACAAAATTAAGATGTCAAAAGAAGCTGTATAAGGTGAAAAGACAGTTCATCGTGACAAAAGGAATAATCGCAGGACATGAAATTTGTGAGAAAAAAAAAGTGCCATGAAGAAAACCAAAGTAAATAATGAGTATAAAAAGAGGAAGAGGAGAAGAATCAGATTTTAGGCTCATCAATTCCATCATATAGATTTAAGAGAAGATGAAAATCAAATCATTTAGATCCAGAAATGCATATGGGAGAACTAGTGCTTTTTAAAATTTGCATATATAAGTAAAATGTTAATCCCACATAATGTTTATTTGAGATCACAAGTCTCTAGGACAGTAATTGTCGGGACAAGGACATACAATGCATGAATAATCAACAACAAAAATTTCGAACACATGAATGACATTTACTCTTCTGCAGATGCAAAATGACCAATTAAGAACTGATCAACATGTGAATTATATAAAGTGAGTAGCTACCAGGGTAGGAAGTCTAGAAGGTTTCCCATATTCCTCATTTGGAAGATATTCAGCAATAGCATTAGTCATCACAAGAGCTCGAACATATTCCACAACTCCTCTACTGTCTACAGCACCCTCCCTTCCTTCAAAGTGCTTGATCACAGACTCAGGACTGCTCAAAATAACACAACAAACATTTACGCAAACTTAAACTCCTCATCGTCGTGTATACTTTTAGTTTCATTTATTTATATTTTAACGGAATCGGTGTTTGTTTTAAATTTTGTTGTAGAAACTGCGATATCCGACTTCACTGATTCAAACCTGTGCTTATTAAGTTCAATAAGTAGCGCAGTTTGTTTGGCAACGTCATTGGGATTAGCCTCGGCGTCGATAATTAACCTAGCCAAACGCCTCTCCTGTTGCCAGAGCGGGAACCAGTTAGCGAAATCGGAGAAAGCCTTTTGGGCAGTCTCTCGCGCTCCCTCGAAGAACGCGGCGATCGGTAACCTGTGTTCGTGTTTGGTTGAACTGGGAGGTGTTTGGGTTTCGGCGGAGGAGCGCGAGAGTCTGCATGGAGAGAGAGGGAGCTTGTTGTAGAGAAGAGGATGGCGATGGTTGTGAGAGGTGAATGGGAGGGAAGCTCTGCAGAGAAGAGAAGCTTGAAGTGTGGCCATGTGAAGTGAGGGAAGAGATTGTGTGAACTGTGAAGAAGAGTGCCTTATCTCTATTGATTGAAATTGCTGCCGCCATCCGACAACGACTTTCCGAGTTTTAAACCATATTAAGCTTTAAAATTGCTTCAGGATAATGCCACTTCTCAGTTCCTCTAATACTGACCAAAAGAAAATCTCTCTTGCTCTATTTTAACATTTTATTATTATAATTATATTTTATGTATTAAAGTGGAGAAAGTCAGACTCTCACGTTCAACTTGTCTGTTTTTAAAATTATTATAAATAAAACAAACAAACTTGTGAGTTTTTATTTAATATATAGGAATATGAATAGACAATGCTTTGAAATTCTAACATTCGTTGTAAAAAAGAAAAAGATTTTCTACATTTAATTGTAAAAACATAACTATTTTCAAAAATATCATTATTATATCTAATTGGAAGTTGACATTTTTATGGGCAAGGCAAAGGAAAGGAGAAAAACAAAAGATCCCTAACTTTATGAAGATATTTTCTAATTATGACTTTGGTAACAAATAATGTTAATCTATACATTATTTAAATATTTTAAGTATGTTCCTAAATTAAAAATAAATAATATATATATATATAAACTAAGAAAAAAGGTTCGTTAGATTAGAGCATGTTGACATGACTATTTTAAAAATCCTAAGAACTCACTTCCAGTGTGTTTGGCACTAGATTATAAATTCCCTTTAAAAATTATAAACTAGCTGAAATTTTCAAAAATATAAGTTAAGAGCTGAAAATTTGAAATTTATAGATTAAATAGTTAAATAGGGCGTATTTAATAGTCTAAATAAATTAACATGATAGTTTTTATAATGAGGGGGAGAATAAAAACTCTAACTAATACGAGTAGAAAATAAATGTATAATTTCCAGCTGTTGATAAATACAATATTCGAACTAACATACATTAAAATTCATTCAACTGCGCTTGATGACACTATTCTTTTATTCGCAATCGTTAACTATGTTGTCGGGTAATTAATTTTACGAAAGAGTCAACAAATTAACCCATATGGCTTCATAACTCGAAGCTAAGGCGCTGGGTTCTGTCAACCATACAAATCGATTTTACACTAAAATTACTTATTTAATGTCTTTTCTCAAACGCAAATCAATTAAAACAGAATAACTTGTTTCAAATTTGAGACACTCAAAAGTTGACTTTCATATTCAATATTCAACATATAAAAATAACAGAAGGGAAAGATGAGAGAAGTGGCCCATTTGAAGAATGGAGGCCTTAGTCAGACAGGAAACCTAATTTAATGACAGTCGAAAGCAGCTGACTGTATCAACCAATGTAGATCTATTTGAGAGAAAGGAGATGCATGCTATTGAGTACGATCAGATCCATATGTAGGCAATGTTGTTGTAGGTTGTTGAGTGTTGTGACTTGGAAATTGCATTCCAGGGGCCATTTGTTGTGGCATAGTTCCAGGTGGCATGTAAATATTATTATGCATCTGCATTGGCATGGACTGACCTACTGCTGGTGGACCTGTCCCCCATCCAGCCTGAGACCCGTTGTATGGTTGAGCAGGATGGCCCATCATGGGAACAGATTGTTGCCCTAAAATTGAGGGTTGCGCATTCACAACAGGAGTATTAGGAATGGTATAATCTCGGCTCCTATCATTATTCACCTGTAATTACACAAATAACCATGGAATTAAATTTAAACGCAAGTCAAAATAGAAGTACAACACTTGCGAATGACCAAAACTACAAAAGGGTTCCTACTTGCGTTATCTATGAAAAATGATTTTAATATTTCCATACCACTATATTCCTACCAGTATGCCACCCGTCAAAATAATGGAAAGAAAAAACCAATACTACACAGCAAATTTAACATTAAAGCAATCAATATGTTCCGTGAGCCAGGTGTGATGAAGGCCAATGATAACAAGGTAAAATATGACAAGCTTCAATATAGAAGGATTTTCAGAGCATGATACACCACCATCATGTCAGGAAAGAAAACCAAGAGTCCTAAAAAAGATTTTAAAGTACAATTAACCATGAAAACCCACGAATAAAGATTGGCTTTGTTCGCTTGTATAACAACCGACCACCCTTTTATAATAGTGATATGAAACATATTCAATTCATAGTTTTACAAATACTTATTCAAATGAATATCAATCTTCAATCTACATATAGTGTTGGTTGTTTACCTTTATACTAAGATCAGTATGGCGTGAATAGGAGATGTGAAGCTTGCAAAAACCTCCATCATATATGCAGTGTCCTTCCAAGGCTTCCTTGGCCACAACAGCTGTCTGAGTATCTGTGAATCATAGTATGTCACTCTCTCAAGCTTATACTAACAATGTAAAATAAAACAAGGCAAGAAATCAATAAAGGTCAAAGTTCTTCACACTTCCATGCCGAGTCAACAGGACTAAATTGCATATATAGCACATCTGAATTATCATTGTTCAAACTATAAAAGATAAGTATGGCCCCTGCTGAGGAAGATTCCCAGCAAGCACCAGGTCCATAACCCTTGAGTAAACAAGAAGAAAGTGCAGCTAGAAGTATCTTAAATATATCTATCCAAAATAAATCAATGTCAGTAATGCGCCACTTCTGTTTTGAAGGAATGTTAAATCATGAGGGGCAGGACCTCCAAAGGTAATACGACAAACAGGGAGTTCATCTGAGGTAGCATTTGGCCCAACTTTTTTGGGGATTTTCTTCCCCTTAAAAGGAGTTGGGTCAAACACAAATTTAAAGAAGACCTGAATTTAATGAGGTGGGGAGGAGCTTCAACATAAGCTAATTGGAGGAACTTATATTCAGAGAGAAGTTAAGAGAAGTTAAGCCAAGAAAAGATGAGTTCACACTACCTAAGTGTACATATGATATGAGAGCACAAATTGACACTTTCACCTTACCTCAACAAATTGCAGACTGTAAGTGGTTGCTTTTCATAGAATCAGGCAACAACTTACAGGGACACATTTGAAAACTTTCCCCAAATGTAATGTTCAAAACTTAATAAACAAAAAATAAATGACAGGCACACTCGTAAATTATCAACAATACAACCGATATAAAAATAATAATTTTAGTTATCAAAATCAAGATCTTACATAAAATCAGGAGATGGATGAACTGTAGATCATGTGATTGTATTACAGATAATAAGATTTTAGAAGAAAGATTAATGATGTAAGTTAGTATAACATGACAATACAACTAATACATACATACATACATACATACATACATATATATATATATATAATAATAATAATAATATTACTAAAATTCAAGGAAGAATTTAGATATTTATTTGATAGTTATTTTTAATATTTCAATTTATTTTATATATTTCACACCAGACCTAAAAAGGAAAAAGAGAGAGAGAGAGCAGACATGAAAATCAGTCAGATATCTTGCATTTCGGATGAGGGCCCACTAAAGCAAAATTCATGGGTTTCGGTAACAAAAAAGAGATTCCCCAGTTCAGCTAACCCTAGTAGATCTTCAATAGACTGACCATAAAGTGGAAAGACACTCCAACGCACCATCACAGATAACAGAGATATATGCTCAAGATGAGAGCTGAGAAACAAATTCAAGAGATGAGTTGGAACAATATTGTAAAGTTAGAAGAAATGGTTTTGAATGGTATCATGTTAGAGAAGGCTTTCAGTTAACAGGGATTTAGGGGCAGAGAAGAGGAAAAAAATGAGTCTTTCTGCTTTCAGGTCACACAATCCAATATGTATGTGACACACCTTTGATCAAGCAACTTAAAATTGACAAAAATCACAGATTCCATAATTTGCAAAATTCGATTCACAATTGCAATCCCACTCACTATACAGCAAGGAGAGGCTTCCAAAATGTACAACATTGTGTGGTTTTATGTTCTTAATATCTATTTTGATAACACTAAATATAACGACAGGTACAGTTTTTCAAAGAACCTAACCTGGATATTGAATCAGAGCCTGTAATCCGCCATTCTTATCAAACATTGCAATTTTTTGGACAGGCCCAAAAGCAGAGAAAACCTGTAACAAAAAAAATACAAATAATGGTAGGATATTATTACCTAAACTGCATTGTCAATCAATAATTCCAAACAAAAAAAAAAGGATGGCTGGTCATGATTCAAAGTACCATGTGCAAGACATCCAACGTTACAGCATATTGCATGTTCTCAATAGATGCAAGAAGAACATTACTCTCAGTCTCCAGTCTTTTCCCATCCAAACCAACCATAGCCTGCACAAATTATAAATGAATACTTAAAAAAAGAATCCTCAGAAAGCATGATAGTTTACATGGCAGCCCCTCACAAGAAAGAGCACATCTGACCTATCTAATGTTCACGAAATAAACATTCAATTTAAAACAAGCGATTTGAACAGCTTTAATTCAAAATATTACCTGTCCACTTCCCTCCACAGCTGATGGAGCAACAGGAAGGTAAGGATTAGTATAGTCTCTGGAGAAAGAAAAATAATCAATTAAAAATTGAAAAATTATTATCTTAGAAAGAAAAAAGGCTTAAAATTGATATGAAGGATGAGATATAGAACCAATCTCCATGCCAAATAATAAACTGAAAACCAACAGGAAAAGGAAAGAATATTGGCAAACAAAATAGAAAGTGCCACCAAAACTTGGGTGTCCTGTAAGCCAGCAATACCAAGGAAATTGAATATACCTGCTCCTGTGGCTTTGAAATTTTACACTTAAATCTGAGTGTCCAGAATATGTGATCCTAAGGGTACATGGTCCCATATGCTCAGGCAACAGATAGCTGATATCGCAGGATTAAAATATGAATAATCAGAAATAACACAAGTTGAGAAATAATAAGAGCTAATTAATTAATGTTCTAATAACTATTGATTTGCAATCCCTTTCAACCATTGCACCTTTTTATTTTCAAGGTCAGTCCAGTTGGCACAATGGCATTATGTAGCCAGCCACATTACATACATCCAATGATCCATAAATTTACTACCAGGTGCAAAATCAAAGTCTATAAACTCCATTATACGTTAAATACAAAAAGAACTGTCACAGAGTGAATATAGAAAATAGTCCAGCAGCTGATTGCTTTACAATTTGAGCATATGACCATCTACTGCCAAATGGTCCACAGCAGTTGAACAAATACACAGTCAAACAAATAACACAATTTTACCTAGGTATGCTTCTTCCATCCAAAGCATCCTTTGCAGAGGTGGCAGTCTCTGCATCTGTGAATTGCACCAGTGCCTAAACAGTTGGTACATAAAATTATCTCGTGGTCGTAGGATATAAAAAAGAGACAACAGATAAGGGTGGCCTATCATTAAACCTGGAATCCTGCTGTCTTCTCAAAAGTAGTAATCTTATGCACATATCCAAAGGCTGAAAAAACCTGCACAGGTGAATAACAAACCTTCAGTACTGTATTTGCTAAGGTGAATCTTAATAATTTTAATGGAACACAAACTAGAATTTCAGCATATAGGTGAGGAAATTTGTCACTCACTCAAACTAAAAAGCTTGCAAGATTAATAAACAAAACCACTACATCACTTAAATAACAATAACCAAGTTTAAGGCTCTAAACAAATCAATATATCTCTAGAAAGAAAAGCTACTAGAATAATGCTTTTGTTACTTATGCTGGTGTCACAAGAACTAATACATTGTAAGTGACAAGCAAGACAAATGACACTTCAAGAAACTATAAAACAATTGCTAGACATTTATCATTAAAGATCTAGTATTAAATGCAGAAAATCGGGATACAGTTTAGCTTAGCCAAGTTGTTCAATTCTGATCACAGTTGTCTTGTATGACAACACCTAGAATATATAACTGTAATAATACTTGCAAGAACTTGAAGTTAATGGTATCATTCACTTTGATACTAGAATTATTGACTCAAAACAAATGATTTGGGAAGTAAATTGTCTCCTCAAAGTAAATTATCTCAAAACTCAGCAGTCAGTAGCCAAGTTTAAAAGGAAACTTTTGAAACACTTTCAGATAAGAGTTATAAAATCTAAAGCACATCCAAACAATAGTTGGAACACAATAATTGAACAGCACAGAATCCGGCGACTAAATCTAAATGCCTATGCAACGAGTTAATAAAGCACAGATGCACAGAAGAAAAAATGGAAATATCCTAAACTACAAGAATGGCAGGAGTTGAGGGGAATGAGGAAGAAAGAGGTAGTGTTAAGGAAAGGAGAAAGGAGACAAACACACAAGCGCTATTTCTCCCAAAGCACTAAGCTTCCATTGAAGATATTGCCTTGACATGGGCCTGCTGATTCATTCACATACAAGTCAACAATTTTTCCATAGCCTGACAAAGAAAAACCTAATCACAAAACTAAATGACCAGCGTCCTCATGATGACAGGGTAAGCATATAACTAATACACACATGCAATCACTTACCAAGTGCAAGACATCAATGCTGACAAGGCGTGCATCTGCACCCTCAATGGTTACCAACAATACATTCCCCGGAACATCTGCAGCAGTTTTGTTATTCACTATTTCTTGCCTATTTGAATATTGTAGATATACAGTTTTCCCTCGAACTTGAGCAGGCTCAGATGATGAGGCATAGTATGATATCATCGCAATGGCTTGATTTAAATCTGCCTGGAGGTTGCGGTTACAAAAAATGATTTTTAACTAACAATCAGTAACTTTATATGAAGACAAAAACAAGACAAAGTAGGGAGAAACGGAAAACAAATATACTCACAAATTCAATAAAAGCTTGGTTTCGATTTGCCCCAACATTGCATTTTGTGTTCACAACTTTACCAAACGGCTTCCCAAGTTCAATCAGTTCCTCCTCTGTGCACTCCCATGGCAAATTTCTCAAATGAAGCACCTTTGACGGTGGTTGAGTGTATCGGAACTGTGGCTGACTAGACACCGATGCCATTTCAGACAATAACCCTAAATCTGTCGAAAGAAACCGAAAATTTGCAGCCCCTTGGACTACAATTCCCTTTTCACAATTAGGTATCCCATCGTAAATCCATAAGCATACTACATAACTACGTTTATCCAAACAAATTCCAACACTAGACATTCATTTACTTATAATTTAGCAACATGCTTAACAAGGATCCAAAATCCAAAACCTCATCCCACAACCATGGCCACTAGATTGGCTCAATGCAACTTAGACATTTATATTATACAATAAAAACTAGGGTAAAAAAACGATAATCTATAACAACTTTTTGGGGATAACAGCAAAGTGCAGATGAAATATCAATTCAAGGCATACAAATTCCACAAATAGACATAATGGATAGGTAAAGGATTTAATCTATTGCAGCCAATTTTGTTGTTAGTTGTTAAACGGTGGTGGTAGATATCGGGATCCACAGCAGAAGAAGCGAGAAAAGAGAGTTATGGAAAAGAAAAGCAATTACCTGAGAGAATCGAGAGAGAAGGAGAAGAGCTCTGGTTTTTTACGACTTTAACGGGATTAGGGTTCTCAAACAAAGGGGAAATAATAATAAGGACGTTATCTACTATTGCTTCTGGCACCGATACGAGACCTTTCACGCACGCTGAACCGTAACCGTGTATTTATATAAGCCGAGATATTTTATTAATTCATAGTATGTATATTTATTTATCAATAAAAAAAATAAAGTCAAAATTATTTTTTAAAAATTTAAGATAAATTTATTTTTAATTTTTTAAATTTAAAATTAATCTTTTTAATTTATATAATTTTAAAAAATCTTATTTTCATTTTTATACTCAAACTTTATTTAAAAAAATTATCAAAATTATCACATAAAATTTATTTATTAATATTTTTATTAATAAAAATATTATTTATTTTCAAATTTTAGAAATTAAAAAAATTAATTTTAAATTTGAGAATGAAAATAAATTTAATTTATTATTAAATTTAAGTGATATTGTATCTTAATTTATTATTTTTATATATGTTATTAATTATTTAAATATAAATACAAAATTAAAAAAAATTAAAGACTAAAATTAATAATTTTAAATTTGAGAATAAAAATAAATTTATTTTAAATTTGAGGACTAAAAATATATATAAATTAAATTATAATATGTGTATCTCTTTTATAAAAAAAGACAACGAGCATTATTATTTTTTAAGATTAATAACATTAATTATTTTAATGATGCTTTTTTTATCCTGCTAGGAATACATATGGCCTACCCGATCGGAAACTCATTTGTGGTACTATAATTAATGTTGGTCCTAAATAATTTTACACACATTAGGATCGAAAACGAGATTTTCGCTAATATACCATCCTCACAACATCAATGTTATCTTTAATGAGGTTTTTAGTTATCGTAACTTATTGAAATAATTTATTAAATATTCATTATATATCAATATTTATTTTTAAATTTTTAAAAGAAATTGCATTTTCTCATCTCACAGAATAATATTATCTGTAATTCTTATGTGATGCAACTTTTTAATAATATAACTAGAAAGATGTTTTTGTATTTTTATATTTTTTAATTATTAATATTTTTAAGATTAATTACTGTTACGTTTAGTCTTTAAATTTTAAAGTATAATTAATTTTTAATATTATTTTTATTATTTAAAAATTTAAGAGTGGCATCATCTTAAAAATATATATATCAAATCAAATTATTGTTTTTATATATATTATAAATTATAGAGATATAATTAATTATATATGACAAAATAGAGATAATATTAATATAAAAAAATTCAATTTTGTTTAAGCTTTATGAATATTTTGCCAATCTTTTAGAAGGTTAATGATAATGTACTATTAGCTAAAAAAAATTCATCGTGAACCAATTAAAATTTATTATTGATAATAATTTTTAAGATAAATTTATATAATAAAAAAATCAACAAACTTACTATAAATAATAATTTATATTTAAATGAAAATGTTAACATGTTAGTGTATATATTTTTTTATCATTTAATTATGCAAATAATTAATTATTTAACTCCATAATATTGTCATTTATAAAAAATAAAAAAATAAATAAATAAAAAGGTAATTATTAGCCTAAAAATTTAACCCATATGATTTTATCATCTATATTTAAAGAATATAACATTTAATTATATTGTTTAATGTAACTATATATTATATTTAATAAATATATTATATTCATTAAATTTTAATATATTTAAAAACAATAATAAATACAATGTATGTTTATTGAACATATCACTTTTCATATAAATATATATGTTAAAAAAATTATCAAATAAAAAGTATATACTATAAAATTTAATACATATAAATGTATATTTTTTTATAAAATGTGTTTTAAAATATAAAATTTCGAGTATATATTAATGAATATCGATAAACTGATAAATATAATAATTCAATTTTTATCTTTTGACTATATAATATAAGAGTGCAAATAGGTCGAAATTTTTCTGAGCTAGCCAACTATATATTTCAGTAAATTGAATTGGATCAAGTTGAATATTTTTTTATAAAAAAACAATTGGGTTGAGTAATGGAAATTCTTACCAACATAACAATATTAAAAATATAATTATATTATGAATAATAATTTATAACTTAATTAGTAAATGTTCTCATGTTTATATTCAATATACATTATTAATATTTATATTTTTGTTATGTATTTTTTTTGTGAGTAATTTTTTGGCTATCATATATTTATAATTACGTTAATCATTTTCACAAATAGTACCCAATCATAATTTTTTTTCTCTTTCATATTATCTTATTTGTTCTCTCTATTATTATTTTTTTATTACACATTATTAATATGATAATCTTTCTTTTTCGTTGGAGTTACAAACTACGAGACAAATATTTCAAAGTTAATTATTCATTTTTCATAACATGTATTTTATCAAATATTTATATTTTTAGATTATTATTAATCAAAATAGTCTTGAAGACATGATAATAGTCACGAAGACACTATGAGAAATATCGATGATTAATTGACATAATGTGTAACGTTTAGTAGACTGAAACGAGACGTTCCAAAATTAGAATGGGTCGTTCCAAACTACTAAAACAAGAGTGATTTAGTAGCCTAGAACAGGTCGTTCCCAAACTTGAACAGACCATTCCAAACTACTAAATAGGCTTATAAACCCTAGTTGGGAACGGGCCGTTCTGGTTTGAGAACGGGTCATTCCAAACATGGTCGTTATGGGTTATAATGCAACCCTATAACGGGTCATTCTGGGTTGAGAACGGGTCATTCTGGATGTGAATTTTACACATGACATTTGAGTCCAGAACGGACCGTTCCGGATTCGAAACGGGCCGTTCTGGCCACTTCAAACTTCTATAAATAGGCCACATGCAGGCAGTTGAGGAGAAGGGAAAAAGGGAACTTAGAGAGAGGTTTTAGAGAGAAGTTTTAGAGAGATGGACTCTAGGTCTATGAGCTTCTTTCTCTCCCAAATTTTTTTGTATGATTCTTCTTCTACTCTAGGTCACTAATGTCTTCTGTCTTTTCTTGGAATTCAGGCCAGGAAGCTTGCTTTTGGAGGATTAAAGTTTCCGGGTTGAGCTTTGAAAGGGAATTCTACTTCTTCTCAATTCTTGGCCATTTTGAGCCAATTTTCAGGTGAGGGAAGCTAGAATGTTTGTTGTTTAGGTTGCATGTGAGTTTAGAAACTTAATCGATGCATGTATGTTGAGAATCCATGGTTGGATTGGAGAAATTGTTCATTTTGGGATTTTTGGAAAAATTGGAGTTTTGATGATTTTGATGCATCGGATGAGTGAATGTTGATTTTGAACTTATTTTTGAGTTGTATGGAGCCTGTGCATTGTGTTTTTGTGTTTGCATGTGGCTGGATTTGCTGGTTTGGATGAGTTTTTGAACTCTCTAACTAGGATTAGGCCGGGCGCAGGTTAAGCGCGTCGGGCATGGAAGAGCTTAGGGCTCTCAGGTTGGATGTTAGGCTGGGCGTGATTTGGTTGCACCGGGCGTGAGTGGGTTTGATAATTTTGGATTGAACTTGATGCTCATGCATGTTTAAAGTTGAAGTTTTAGATCATGTATGTATGATATATGATGTATGGTGAGGTGTGATTCATATGTACGCTTGGTAATGATATATATGAATGTTTAAATATGATATGACATGTATATATGTTCATATGAGTATGATTATTGATCATGATGGTGGGTAGACCATGTATGATGTATGATGCATTATTGCATATGATGCCTTATGGCATGTGTATGATTATTGATCATGATGGTGGGTAGACCATGTATGATGTGTGATGCATAATTGCATGTGATGCCTTATGGCATTAGTCTAGCCCAGGACTTGAGGAGAGGGAAAATGTTTTCGAACTGGAAGAGCTCACATAGAGTCTCTTGAGAGTGGTGCTCAGGTAGGCCACTGGATTTGAGTGAGAGTGGTGCTCAGGTAGGTCATTAGGTTAGGTGAGTCTTCTCTAAGTCCTTAGCTAGTGTTGGAGCGGAGTATGAGGTCGAGGGTTATTCTCTTAACCAAGTACTAGGGAAGGTGCGTGGATCCTTGTGGATAGTCGGTGGGTGAACTCCACAAGTGACTTGGTAATGCATGCCAAGATCGTGGTAAGCCTGTACCTAGCTATGTTATACCTGACGGTGGATCCAGACTTCTAATTGTGTAAGTGACATCATCCGAGTAAACCCAAGTGAGGATTTTTATCCTGTTTAGCTGTGACCGAGTGAGCTCATTGGGCATGAAAACGATTGGGGTGTAGGATTCAGATGTCACTTACACTGCTCTGCTGTTAGGGAAATCTCTTAGGTGTATGCGTGACGACGCATTAGATGATTGATATGCATTGATATCTGTCATGAGATGCATTTATTGCATGATTGTTAATATGATGAAGTGTGTGGTGTTTGGCTTCATGATTGGTGGATTGCATTATTGCATGAGTATTATTGGATAGAGTGTATGGTGTGACTCTATGAACATGTTTTGATGAATGTGTAGTATAGATTATTGTTTTATACTTGTATGGTTGATTGTTAAACTCTAGCTTACCCTTCTATTTCCATGTAGATGGACTGCGATTATCATACTTTGTATGGGAGCAGATTAGGGCTAGCTTAGAGTTGAGGTGTGCTGCCAGACAAGGAGTTTTGTCCCAGTGTTAGAGTTACCGACTGGGGTAACTGTTGTTGTGCTTGACCGGTACTAGAGAATATTATTTTGGATGACTGTACATATATATAGCGTTATAATTTGTTTTTAGAAAACTTAGTTATTATTGTATTTTATATACCATGTATATATGAGTTGTCACATTTAATATTCCTTTTAGTCTAGTTGTAGTAGTGCGATTCCACTAAATGTAGGGACCATGGCGGGTCGTTACATAATGTATTTTACATATTACATATATTTATTTTACAATTATTCATATTATTCTATCTTTAATCATATTTATTGTATTGTGCATTTGATAGAGTGTTTATATTATTTATATAATTTTTATTTTTTAAAAATAAAATTAAAATCAAAAAGTAAATTATAAGAATATTTTTGTAATAATCTAGAAGACATTGT